TATATTAATTCAATTAAAGATGTTTTTTGACACAATTTAGATTATTTAGAAGGCAGGTTTTGACTTGATACCTGTCAGGGCCAAACAGGCTGAGAAGGATACAACATCCCAGTAGAAGTAGAAAGACCGAGATTCTCGATAAAAAATTATATCCACTCTGGAATCGCACTCAGGTCTCCTGCTGCATGTGTGACAGCAAAGTGCCTTGCGACTTCACCACAGACACCATTAACTTTCTATACATTATACCACTTCAACTGTGTGGCTACTTGTACTTGTACATGTAGGCCATTTCATACATGGCAGCAGTACTATCACTATCAGTGAGTATCAGAGACTTGTATTATAACTGACATTGTATTTGTAGATCATTTACGCCTCCATCGACGCAACTTAGATCATTCAGGAGATGGGCTGTTTCAACCCTGCCTGTCAGGGCCAGTCTAGATGGAGACAAGTGGAGACAGGCCTACTCGATTTAAACCCAAAAAATACTCCCCACACTGGAATCAAACACTTCTTCAGCGTGTGAGTGCGACAGCGAAGCATCTAACTACTACACCATAGACATCAATGTAAAAACTTACTGGGACACATACATGTAGTTACTTTAAATTGTATCACACCAGGTTATGGTGTGCATGGCCTAGGTTCAAATCCCTTAAGGCAGGAATGTTCTTTAACTTGGTTTGTCTGGGAGATTTCAAGTTCTAGTCTCATCACCCACTTGGCTCAGTTCTGTCAACGATGGATATTAAATTCAGGGGCCCCGTCTTTTATTTAACTTTTCTGTTGAGAGGGGAGTTATACATATGTATCAATGACATGATTACATGTACACTTTTTTAAAGACACTTACTGATGATGTAACTGTAACAATACACATAGTTTTGTTTGATATTTTGTAAGGTAAATAGTGTCAATGTTTTATTTCCTGTTTATCATCCTATTACCATCCCAATACATGTAAAGAATAAGAATTCATTGTACATGTATTAATTATTCATTGCTTGATCACTTTCAGCAGTCTATCCTGAAGCAGGTTATTGTGTATTGTTATCTCAACTACATAAGGAACTTCACTGCTTTACTCTAAGTAAATTGACACAAATAAAAATCTTAAGGATTTAATCTCTCACATAGTTACCTTGAAAAGAGTGTGCTAAATATTTCGTTTTCACTTTCAATACGGCTCTATCTTGAAACTGACACGCAATTAAAACTAAGAAACGGGTTTTTTAAAGTGGCCAATTTGGAGTAAAAATAATTTAAGTTTGATCTTTAATTTAGTCTATAAATGACAATACTACAACTTGTGTACATAGTACATGTAGGCTACTAAATTTGGGATTTCACTATACGTCACTTGGCTGAGTTTATAGCAAGCACATGAACTGATGACTGCCTGCTGTAGGGATCACTGAAGCCAACAGCATGTTACATACAATTACAATTTTTTCTGTCGCTATAAGAGTAAGAATTCTACGGCTTTATCAATACAATTAGGTTTATTTAAAAGGCATGACCTCTGAATTCAAAGTCTGTCTCCAATGGCACTGAGATAAATGAGTAGAGAGCCTTGAAAATTCCACAAAATGACCCAAGTTCAAGAACGCCTAGTCTGGGATTCAAACCAGGGCAATCCACTCCGTATCCCAGCATGATATCAACTGAGCTGATGGAGCGCCTGTTTATTTGTACAATGAACATAGATGCCAGATTTCAGGGAAAGTGTAAAGAGTGATGCTAAAGGTGAAAACAACAAGTCCTCAGAAAGATTATTCTTAACCATAGGCGGAAACTGCAATAATGTATGAGAAAGGTTTCCGTTTTATTTCATGCATTACCCACACAGCTTGATTGTTTAGAAGACCTTTGTGTAGATGCCCCGACTGCTCTGTTGCAGAGCAGTATCTAGGCAGAGCAGTCTAGGCAATCTAGCCCAGGTTGCTCTATATATAGGCATCATGCTGGACTATACAGCGGATGGTCCTGTTTCAAATTCCCAACATGAAGATTTTTGGATTTAGGAGTTTTCATGGCTTTACGTCTACATGTATTTAGTTTGGTCCAATCGGAGATGGACTTAAAATCCAGAAATCCTGCCTCTTGTAAAATACACTTACGCTAACTTACAATGTTATAAAAAGATATATGAGCGGTGGACCATACCATTTTTTTTTATATTTAAAAAGACTGGTTACATAATACACTGTGTCACTTGTACAGTTTTTTCACTGAACTTTTGTTACAGAAATGCATATTATTTATGATTTAAATGCCAATTATTTTTGTCTTGACGTGACAACGGGATTTTTTATTTTTGTTCCTGTTTGAGTAAAGAGAAGTACAGTGACATAACAATGGTCATTCAGTGTAGAAAAAAGTAAGACAGACAAAGACACAGGGTGGGGTGGGGGGGTCAAACAGAAGACAAAAGCCAAGACACTTTCGATTATTCAAGAGTATTACAGGTTTATTGGGCCAAATCCAAAATGAATCGTAAATTAAAATTGCAAAACCCTTAATAAAAATATTAGGCATGCTCCTAGGAAACAATAGCATGCAAAATTTGCAATAATTATAATGTCATTGACTAAATTCCCCTGATTTTGCTCACTATACAAAGCATAAGCATTTTATTCGCACTCTTACCTCTTATTCTTATGTCCTACCAAGACTCCCTCCATCCCCTCACACCCAACCCCCCCCCCCCCTCCCAAAATACCCTCCAGAGACTAGTGTAATTGTTACACACCTTCAACAATACAGTTTAGACAATCAAGGAGGCAAACTGCTTTAACCCTTCCAGTCAGAGACAACCTGGACAGAGCGGTATACATCTGGGTGTAAGTGTCTCTTTTTAGCAGAAAGACAAGACATTCTAGATAAAATAGACATCTATCAAGAGCTGAACTCATATTTTCTGCATGCAAGGCGAAGAGCCGAAAAAAATGCAGTTGACTCAAAAACACAAAAATGCTACAAATACATTCTTGCCCCTGGCCACAACCAAACTGAAGTTAAAATTGATTAGAAAATAATATAAATATATAGGATTATACATACTGATTGACCACATCACACAACATGTATCTTTTGCACCGGCAGCAAATCTTAATTGTTGCAGAGCTGCAATTGTTTGAATACAACTGTGTTTCTGCTTTTCTTTAAAGAGTTTCTTCAACCATGATTGGATTTGCAAGGGACTGTCTGAGACTAGAGGAAAATTTCTGTTTGACTTTGCAAATGGGAAACACAGTAGAAAGGATACCAGAAACAGAAATGACGTCTACTTCATGAAAAAGACCCCTTTTTTGTAAAGATGTGTACCCTCAGAAACTTGGGAAGCTACTGTTGTTACGAGTCTCAATAGGACCAGCAATAAAAAGGCTTGGCCGTCAAAAACAAAAAACACGTTCACTCACAACCGCAACCACAAATAAAGCTCAGAGGGGTCAAAGGTTTAAAACCTTCAAATCAAATTGATTGCTGGGTCAGTTAGATTTTTTAAAATAAACAAGACCCCTAAAAAAAAAAAACACAGCTTGGAATGACGTGTCAGTAAAAACACACTACGTAAATATGCAATGTGTGTTTTGCACTAAAAATTGTAAAAATATATAACCAAATAAAATAAACATCAATGTATCTTGACAAAGAAGAAATACTTTCACAAGTTTTCTGCACTGTGCTGCAGGTCAATATGACATGGTAGAAATAGCACTGTTGGATTTTACCCACTGGAATGCAAATACTTTCTCCCATATAAATATTAATGTATACAAGTGTTGGGTATAAACCGCCAAACAGAGGCAAAAGGTTACATTGTTAAGTCCATCCCCAGGAAGGCTATAAATGCCAGTTATGGTTACCCTGGATTAGTGAAACATACAACACATCTTGTATAAAGTGTGAAGCACCACACAAACTACTTCCATAGATTACGATTCTACAGTTCACATGTATTGAAAGAACACTTCTAAAACAACACTCTGAAAGCTTACACATCTCTTAAAGATTTCTAATCCATTACCAATAGGCATATGAAGCAGCTATTATCTCTCTTGGAAAATTTTAGTTTAGTGTACAGAAACTAAGAACACCCTATTGTCAAATAAATGAGCAGCACACGTTTGGAATGAAAACAAAAAAATCAGGAATGAATAGATGTAATATATATCAATGTAAGTACTGGTATAAATAATATGGATCATCACAAGGTCCCATTCTACATTCTGGAATGCATCATATCCTTCCAGTGCAATTAAAAAAGATAAAACAATGGACACATCTATACCTATTACAGAAGTCCCTTATTATTAACAATCATGAACATTGTTAGATCTATACACTACCACTCATGACTAGTGTCTAAGAGAGCTTAAAAGCTCTCAATTTTTAAGTTATATCCCTCCCAATATTTCAAATACAAATCTCAACATTCCGGTACAATGATGGATTTATGTGTTAACAATCATGACCAGTCTCTAAACTAATATTAATACATGTAGAGCATGGGAGCTCTCAATTTTTCTGTCGAATATTTTCAAATATAATCTAAGAATATTCCATGAGTCAGATGGGTTAGGCTATTCAACTTACCTAAGACGTGAGGAAGACTAGCAACATAACAATGTGTAAAACAATACTGACAAATCCTTATATAATTGCAAATAAACAAAAAGCTACAGAATATTATCATAACTTAAAACATTTAAAGAAATACATGCATTACATTCACATTTGTGAGTTGTATGAACTTATCTTTGGACCTAATACTAAAAACAATATTCATCAAAATAAGAATGTATCACTGTGCCTCATCCTCTCTCTTTCCGTACTTTAGGATCCTTGTAAACTCCAGGTAGTTAAAGTTTCCCCTCTTGATGGGAGCATCCCTGTACATTTCATCAACCTGAAAAAAAAAAGATAGCATGCCCTTTAACATCACATCTAAACTTGAATAAGCACAAAGTGCATACTTCTTAGCAATTCTCAACAGTATTCAAAGTTCTGTAGCAGTAATCTTAAACAACAGATGGGTTGTTAACCAAGAGGGACCATGTTAATTTCCCATGTTGAAGAATTCATTGGGAGAAAGGTGGCAGTGGGTGCAGAAACTCTCGTACTGGTTTCTCTACTTCTGTGTTCATTTTTTTCTCATCTGTTAAGTTCAGTAGGCTGAACCATTTCCCAAGTCTTTTCACATGTATGCAAAAGAAAAAAACCCTGATTTATAGATCGTGAGCAGTACTCGTCCTGAAAAAAGTAAAAGATACACTGGCACTTAAAAGTTTGAGAAGGTCAAAGATCTTATGGCAATGCAAATATTGATACCCAAAAGTGATGACACTCTCATTAGTAAATTCAGAGAACCTTCAAAAACGGCATCTGGCTGTTATGAAGGGCAACAGACCATAATATAACAATACAATTAAATATATTCAACACAGCTACCTCTGAACTCCAGTACAGGAATGCAGAAAAAAAAGTATGAACAAAAGACAACTTATCTTCGCATTCTCCTTTCCCAGGAATTTGCAAAGCTTGAGTTAAATCCACTGTAGACCACTAACATGAATGGGAAATTGGCTTTATCTTATTATAATCTATGAAAATTTCAGTGATATTTTCATTTCTTCAGGTCTCACTGTGAGGGGCAGGTGTCAACAAGGATGAAGAGACTTGGAATGCATTAGGGGAGGGGGTGTCAAGATTCGGCACAAAATTTATGGAATTTGAGTAGTAGGCATTTTTAGCTTCCTCAGCCTCTCCTTCAACCATTTCATCGCATAAGAACCCTCAAAAACCGTATTTTTCCCCATACCGGGCATGTTTGTCACCATTAACTCCTCATAAAGTCAATATTTTCTTTTTCTTTTATCGGCCATTTTATCAAAATGCAAGTTTCCTCTATACTTTTTTGAATAACTCCGCCTTTTTTCATCCAATCTTCACGATATTTTCACAGAAAGAAGAGAAGGTGTAATACTAAAAATTTGTCTGTTGAATTTTTGATATATGGAATAGATTTTTGTTGGTGGTGTCTTGAGTGTGGATTTTCACAAACTTGAATGCTACCTCCGGAAAAAATTCATTAAAAAATTTCTAATTTGTTTACGAAAAAACAACAGAAAATTTTTTTAGATCTAATGTTTGTTAACACGCATTCAAAAGACAATCAATTTCCATGAGCAAAAAGTGCGGTATTCGTTACATAAGACATGTCAACCAAATCCAATATGGCCACCGTATCCATAGAAACAAAACTTTTTTCTCAAATTTGATCGCGGATTCTAAAACTCCTTACTATGCCTGTTATATGTGTGAAATTTGGTAAAATTTGGTCCAGTAGAAAGTGAGATAGCCTTCAGGTGTAATTCCCCCCCCCCCCCCTTAAATTACAAACTAGCGATAGCATGCCTGTACTATTTTTATTACTTTGTAACAGCAAAGACTCAAATTACGCCTAAAATATTCCCAAAGCAAAGATTAGTCATTAGTAACAACACATTTGCAAATATTAAGCCCATGCAAGGATGTATACAACATTCACCCATGACTGTTGAACATCAGCTTGAAGAATGAGGAATGTCCAAAATAGGGCAACCCTTGAGAAGCTACAAGACCAGAGCCAGTATCATTTAGGGGACATGCTGTATGGCAACTTCGAGGCACTGTGACAGAGTGTTTTATTTGGAAGGATATTTTACAGATGTCAAGATAAATTTCACACACACCCCCCTACATTTTAAATAAATCAGTAAATCTATCCCCCATTGTGGTGAGCAGCTCCCTCAGTTGTTCCTCTGGTATTGCCCCTGAAAAAAGAACACATCAATTATACATAAAACAGACACCAGAGCGTCTTTCACGCATTACATCATAGCCACCCAAATGAGAGGGGATCCTGGGTGTGTATGGTAGGTCAAGTAAGTCCCAAATAGAGGACTCAAGTTTACTTTTACTACCTGATGTTTCCGTATGAACAACAAAGATGAATAAGAAATGCAAGTAGTTAACAATAATCTGCTCACCTCTTCATCAGTAAATCTATCCCCCATTGTGGTGAGCAGCTCCCTCAGTTGTTCCTCTGGTATTACCCCTGAAAAAAGAACACATCAATTATACATAAAACAGACACCAGAGCGTCTTTCACGCATTACATCATAGCCACCCAAATGAGAGGGGATCCTGGGTGTGTATGGTAGGTCAAGTAAGTCCCAAATAGAGGACTCAAGTTTACTTTTACTACCTGATGTTTCCGTATGAAGAACAAAGATGAATAAGAAATGCAAGTAGTTAACAATAATCTGCTCACCTCTTCATCAGTAAATCTATCCCCCATTGTGGTGAGCAGCTCCCTCAGTTGTTCCTCTGGTATTACCCCTGAAAAAAGAACACATCAATTATAAATAAAACAGACACCAGGGTATATATATATCATACAAGTACTAATTGCACACCAGTGAATTTCTGACCGAAATGACCAATACTCAAAATGTTTTCAGAGCATCCATAGTCAAGAAAAACAAATTATAATAACAGACAGAGCAAACTTTGCTTATCATGACTATGACTGACATAAGCCAGGGAAAGGAGGTACACAAAAGCAAGATAGACCAGACAAGGTCAAGAAAAAGGTAATCTGGGAAACATTAAAGAACTAACAGCAAGAAAGAGGGTAAAAACCTTTCACATAGACAAATTTTTTAAAATATATCGTAGAGGGTTTTACGGCGCTCGCAACTGCATAAGGTCATATGAGCGCCAAGGAGTTAATGTCAACAGAGAAGTATTTACAGGGAATCAGACTTAGACTGCTCACCTCTCTAGCTTCAACAGCACAAGGTCTGCTTCGACTATCAAGGCATCCCAAAATAGCAGGTCACAAGAGAGTGACAAACATACAAAATAAGTAGAAGAAAATAACAATAGTAAGGATCTGGAAAGAAAAAGCAGCAGTTCCCTGTTGTAGATCAGGCACAGTTGTGAGAGTGACATGAGTCAGCCCATTTATAATTCTACTATGCTTGAACGAGAAATGTCCCCCCTTTGGGAATGGCCTAAAGACACTTCAGTCAGTGGCATTGCCCCGGAGGGTACCTAGACAAAGAAAGCAAGAAAAAAGAAAAGAGATGAACATAGTGAACAGCAGACAACACAATTTCCTACTAGTTTAACAAAACTTTTGGAGAGGAGAGTGAATGATGGCAATAAACAGAAGACTCATTCATATCATTACAAACCTGTGACACATTCTACTGTGAGAAGAGGACTAAAAAAATATCTGAAATGTCTTTTACAATTACAGAAAGACAACAAATACAGTCAAACCTGTCTAAGGACTACCACCCATTGTGGAGCAGAAAAGTGGTTATCTAAGACAGGTGGTCCTCTTGGACAGTGTCGTTATAATATATATGTTTTGTAATATACTCAACTCCATTAAAAGCTTCTCACAGTTTTCAAACGCAGGTAACGTTTTACAAATCTTGTGTTCGATGAAAAGTCAACAATGTATAAGCTATTGTCCACTGTCTGGCATTAAACAAATATTCTTTTGTTGGTGGCATGCACAAAATGGGTAAAATATCATTTTTCTTGGTTTTGCGTCCCTTTTTGCAAAAAAATCAACCTAAACGTTACCACTTAAGTAGCAAGGAAAAAAGAACCAGTTTAGTTTTTAAATTGATCTCTTTCTTTTACTCCCAACTGTATGCCAGGGTTTAGCATTGAGGAGAGCAATCACTCCATCAGGAAGCTCATTGCAGATGTAAATCAAAGGTGGGTTGCAGCAAGGTTAAATGTTGGTCAATGGACTATTGGAAGGCTGTATGAACGTATCCAGACAACTGCAAAAGTTCATGATCAACCAAGGACAGAGCAAGCAAGGGTTACAACTGCACAACAAGATAGGCATATCATATATTTTTATTCAGCCCATTGTAGACCCTTTTTTTCCAGCCACTGTGGAACCAGAAACCCTCAAGGAACTAAAGGAACAGTAAGTGCAGCCACCATTCCACACCAATTTACAGAAACTTGTAACTGCAAACCCTGTTACGGTCCTGTGCTTACTGTTGCGCTACGACAAGCTCATTTAGACTAGCGTACTCGTACCACCCGCGGCCGCGAGGCTTCCTGCTCTCCTCACAGCATCGTTTCTATTTTTAGAACAATTTTGCTTGTGTTTTCCGGTTCGCCATAAGGCCGTGGTCAGGTCACCAGTAGCCTCTCAGTCTAACATAATAAAGATGGACACTATGATACAATCTTACAGTAGAGCTCAATGACCTGACCGCGGCCATGTGCCCTGACCGCGACCGTGAATGTGACATGAGCGCGACCATGTGACATGAGCGCGGCCAAGGCTGTGACCTGAGCGCGGCCAATACTAGTGTAGTTAGTTTTGAAAGGGACAGACAGGATTATACTCTCATTAGACATTCTTTCACAGAATTCCAGAGTATAGGGTAGATTTCTAAGTCTTGATAAACTTGTCAGTCAGTCTAGGTCAAGGTTCAATGTAAATTTTATACATGTGATTAAAAGAAAAATAATGTTAAAACCACGAACTTGTGCTGTTCTTTCATTTCATTTCAGAGAAGGTGATAGGAAAGCAGTTTGAAAGAGAGAGGGGGAGAGAGAGAAATAGAGAGAGAGAGAGACAGACAGACAGACAGACAGACAGACAGACAGACAGACAGACAGACAAACAGAGACAGGGGGGCAGAAGGAATGAGAGAATGAGAGGGAAAGAATAAGAGAGAGAGA